ATAATTGAAGTAGCCAATGTTCCTCTTCCTATTCTATTCCTTTTTTCAGATAGCCATTATCTCTAATTTGGTGCTTATTTTTTCATGCAGGTTTATCACTACATGTATACCCATAAATAATGTAAAACATTATTTTTCATGTTTTAAATGTTGTATAAATGATAATTTATTGAAGGTATTATTCTGCCACTTGTTTATTTTGCTTACATTATATTCTTGGCATATATCTATATTGATATATACCTGATTTCCTTAATTTTAATTGCTTTATAGTGCTTCATTTACACCACAGTATAATGTATCCATTTCCCTGTTAAAGGATATTTAATCTGTGGCTATCTCCCCACTATTACAAACAATATACTATTGTGTAGGTCCCTTGTTGTGAATATGTATGAGAGCTTCTATGGGCTATAAAACAGGCATGGGATGGCCTCATCATAGGTTATGATCATGTTCAACTTATGTACACGTATTGCCAAACAGCTTTCCAAACTGGTTGTAATCCCGTATTACTCTTGAAACAAGACAACGCAGACAGAGAAAGACAGATACTGTATGATCTCATTTATATGTAGAATTTAAAAATTGAACTCATAGAAACAGAGTAGATTGGTGGTTGTCAGGGGCTGGGGGTGAGGGAAATGGGGAGGTGTTGATCAAAGGGATTTCAAACTTTCCATTAAAAGAATAATTTTTAAGGATCTAAAGTATAGCATGAAGACTATAATTAACAGTACCATATTGTACACATGAAATTTGCTGAGAGTAGTTCTTAAATGCTCTCACCACACACACACACACACACACACACACACACACACACACGCATGCAGGGTAACTCTGTGAGGTGATGGATGTGTTAACTAACATTTGTGGTAATCATTTTGCAATATACACATATATCAAAATAAAACAACGAAAATAAATTTTATCAAGTGGTTCTTCAAGGAAATGGAATAAAATCTTGACCCTTCCATTTTCTGATCATGTAACCACGAGAAAATTATTCAACATTTGTAAGTCTCAGTTTCCTTATCTATAAAATGAGAGAAATAATACCTAACTAAACATATTTTTCTGAAGATTTAAATGAGATTATTAATAAAGGATAATTGCTATTATTATAATAAAGATTATTATCATCATTATTACTATTGACATAAAAAAATCACATATGTTTTGTGGCTTAATGAATTAAAAAAATCATTACATGCACATTACTTTCATTTTGTTTACTATATACAGTTGAAGGCAGATCACCACTGTTATGTGCTGAATTGTGTTCCCGCCAAATTCATATGTTGAAGTCTTAGTCCCAATGCCTCAGAATGTGACTCTACTTGGAAATAGACATTTTAAAAAGGTAATTCAGTTAAAATGAGGTCTTTAGGGTGGACCTGAAAGGTAATTCAGTTAAAATGAAGTCTTTAGGGTGGACCTTGTAAGGTCTGGTGTCCCTACAAGAAGAGGAAATTTGGACTCAGATGCACACGCATACAGAGAAAAGTCCATGTGACACAGTGAGAAGACGACCACCAATAAGCTGCAGAGAGAGGCCTCAGAAGAAATAACCAAGCTGACATCTAGATCTCAGACTTCTAGCCTCCAGAATTGAAAGTTAACTTCTGTTAATTTAGCTAAAAAAAAAAGAAAAGAAAAGAAAAATAATCAAAACAATATACTTATCATACGACAGGCACTTGGCAGCAAGTGTAACGATATGTTTAATTTTGAGCCCTATTGGTTATGCATAAATTGCCCTTGCTAATCATTACTATTAGATGCTGAAAAAAAACTATCACTCAGTATTTTTTTTCAGAAACTTTGAAAATACACACAGGTACATGAATGCAATCAAGGGAATCTTCCTTCTAATACTTAGTACTTTGTATAAAGTTTACAGAATATTCACACACAAAAAACAATCTTGGCTTTTTGGAGTCTGGTATAAAATAGTACCTCTGTAATTACTCTGAGAACTCGCTCCAGAATTCAAGGTCTAACAAATAAAAGAATGCTTCGTGCATCATTAGTTATTTGCAAATAAGCCTAAAAGTATTTATTAAATTCATTACTTGGATTCCAAGCCCTTAAAATGTATTCTTTCTACTTATTATAAACTATTGGACTTTCAAATGATGCAAAAGCTGATATTGGAGAGCTAGTATTTCCTATTATAGTTTAAATTAATGTGGGATCTTGGAGACTCTTAAGTGTGGATATACTTTCTTCAGTGTCCAACTTGGTCATGGACAATCACAAAAATATTCAATTAATAATTAAAAATATTTACTATAATAGCTGACTTTCCAATTTCATGTATAGAAATTATTCGTATAAGATACACATATTGCTTAAATGTTATTTTCTTTCAAGTAATCACATTGGAACAACTAAATCTTCATTAACTATATGGCCAAGCAAAATAAACACTTATTCTGAAAGTAGTAATCAATTATGAAATATTTACTCAAATAGATTCTGTTAAGGTACCCCAGCTTATGTCCTTTTTAATGTACTAACCATTAAAACAATAGACACAGTATTGGGATGTCTTCATAATAGAGATAAAAATCTACAACTAGACAATAATAACAGATTAGCAAACAGGTAAATTTTCGTAGAAGTGTTGTTTTAATACAAATGAGGAAAGGCGTGATTAGAGAGCATCAAATCAATTCTTCTCACGTATCCTAAATATATAGGACAGAGAAATGCATTAATGCAAAGATAATCAATAGCTTCTGTAGTCTCAGAATTGAACTATTTCAACTAGATGTATATCCACAAGCCTTCAGAATTTAAAGCAGTAATTCACATCATTACCCTCTTCCAATAGTTAAAATTGGTTCAATCTTTTACCAAAAATAACTATAGAAAGAGAAACAGGTTGAACTCTTACAAATTATTCATTTTATTACCAGCCCAAATTTTTGTGTACCAATCTAGTTGCCATTTAATAAATTGATAAAAATCAGGCTGAGTACTTTCAAAGGAGACTCAAGATCTACATAATAGTCTATAGAAACTGGCAATAGATAACTTTATCAAATGGGATAGAGATGTTTGTCACATATTAGTTACAAATGTTTGTTTGCCTGTTTGGTTGACTGTTCTATTATATATGTCATCTTTTACATTAAAACATTAGTCCATACTATGGGTGTTCATAGCCTCTGAGAATCTGATAACAGTTTTGAAGAGTCACACAGAAAAAATGTACATGCTTACATGAATACAAAGTTTTGTATTAATTTTCAGGACATTTCATAGGCACGGTGGACAAAGTGTCCATCCTAAGACTTTAGCAGTAAGGTGATCTGTATTACTTGCATCCCACCATATCAAATGTAGACCTTTATGATACATTTATAATATGTTGCTGACTTAACATAATAATGTTTGAGGGTAGTGCACTTGAATATAGAAATCAAAGACTTATGTCAACTTTAAAGAAGGAAGTTATAGGTACAATTTTAATACCTTCATACTTCTACACAGCTATATACAGGAAAAGTTCACTCACAATCTAGGCCATAATGGATAGGAGTTTATACGGAAAATAGTAGAATATTTAATGATATCTGTAGGTGAAAGTAAATTGTAACTTTTTTGAATACTGGATTTATTTTAAAACTCATAGAGACAAGACATATATATATATATATATTATAAAGATTTTAGACAGTAAAACTCAACATATAACTTTAATAATACTAAGGTAGCATAAATGAAAGGCTATGTTATAAAATAAAATGAGATATAAATGTCTCTACTGTTATCTTCAGCTGATCTTAAGTACTATATACCAGTTAAGAAAAATATAATTGGAAGTAGCTATATAAAAGGAGGAACCTTCTTTTTATCCCTTTGAAGCTTTTAGTTTCACATACTTAAAATTGGAATTTTAAAAAAGATAATTTGTCTTTAACTATGTGGAACTTTTTTTCCTAAGGCCATTGTTTTCTATTCTTTATATATATATATATATTTAAGTGGAACTGTAACGAAAAGTAGAAAATAGTGAATTAGGTTTTAGAAAGTATAGGAAAGCACTAAGATTGGAGAAATAATATAGTATGATATAATAATACTATAATGTATTAGCAGCTGTTATGTGGATAATCTGAGGAGACAAATACTTTCACGGCATATTTGGGGAATACACTAGTATTTCCATTTTTTCTCCAACAGAGTGAGCTTGAATTTCATCCAAATTAATTAAGATGGATCTGGAAACAAACAATTCATTAATTCGTTTAATTGTTCATTCAATAAATATTTATTGTCCTTGTACTAGGTGCCATGCACTGTAATAAGAGAAAAAATAAACTCAGATAAATAAAAATCACCCAGCCCAGGCCCTCAAGGAGATTACAGTCTTTAACAGAAGAATGATACAGATAGAATTAGGATGAAGTATAATAAATGCCATGAAGGGAGCAATATACAATATCATGAGAGTACATACCTCTGGCTATTATGCACTTTTGGCAATCAGAAAATGCTTCGTCTTTGCAAGAAAAACTTTAACCAGGAGATTGAAACAAACAAACAAAAATAAGCAAACAAACCCCCCATACTCCCTTGGCTTGATTGTTTCCATATCAAATCAGTCCGCCAGTCATCAAACTTTGAACAAACCGTCAAAGTCCTAAACAGAACATAATTATTGGTAGTGACTGGTTCCAGGGACCTAACTTTACAGAAATTACTTAGGTCATTGATCCATCATATAAACATTTCCATATGCATCACTATTACGGTGAAAGACACCTTTTCCCCTTGGAACCAATAATTAACATTTTTGAAAGTTCTTTTGGAAGTACTTATCTGTGTTCAATAAAACACTAAAGTTATGGTGCTTAGTGTTCCTTTGCAAGTCATTAGTGAACTGTGAGGCTTCCCTTCTATTTTAATCTCTTTCTCTCTCTCTCACACACACACACTTTTTCTTTTCCTGCTCTCTCCTCTCCCTCTCCCCCTCCCTGAAGCATTCTGGAAGTCGAGTCAGCTCTGTTGTGAAAGAAAAAGAGCGTCAACTGTCTCAAGATGTGAAAGTGATTTTGACCATGTGTCCCTTTTCTCCACTTCTTTTCTGCCCTCCAGAAAAAGGATGGAGCAACAAAGCAGAGGGCCTGTGCGTGCCAGGCGGCTACGGGTATCATAAAGGAGTTTGGTATCTTTGCAGCACCAGCTTGGCAAAGGAGTTGACTACAGAATGAGGCTCAAGTCCACTTCCTAACAGTTTGGCGAGAGTCTGCCCAGTGAGTTGCAACCCCTTTTACCAGGAAGAATCTTCTTTCCTTTGGCGCCCCCCAACACCTGAAGGGGAGAGTCCCAGAGGTTGTGTCCGTCCAGATTTGATCCCCTCTCCCTATCCTGGTCTCCCACTCCGCAGGCCCAGCAAGCCCTGCCATGTCGCCCTTTCTCCACCTCCAGCCTTGAAAATGGGTACAAACAGGTCCTCAAACAACCTAAAGAGAGAGGAGCTTCAGGGGTTCAATCCACATCCCAGCGGGTGGGAGAAGTGGAGGCTAAGCTTTGCTGTGGGCGGGGACACACCTCTAGTGGGGCGTTGCGAGCGCGAGGAGGGGCGGAAGCCCCTGGTTCTGCTCCCCGGGGTTAAAGGCCGGAGAGAACTTGGCTCAGCCCTTCCGTGCCAGCGCCCCAGGGTTAACCCCAGCAGGTTCGGGGTGCGGGCACGAAAGGGTGTGAAGGAGATACACAGCTCTCCATACACTGGAGAGCTCGGCAAGGAAAGGAGGGGGCGAGGCAAGGCAGGAACCGCCTCCCCGGCCCGCGTGCACACACGCGCCCACCGCGGCTGGGGCTGGCTGAGCGCAGGCGAGTGTGAGCGCGGGCGAGTGTGAGCGCGAGTGTGCGCACAACCGCGGAGAGCCTCTGCCCTCGCCTCTCACCCTGCTCAGGGCATCTGGAGAGCCTGGAAACCTGAACAGGCTTAAAGTATGGCATGTTGCAAAGATGGTTTCTGCCAAGAAGGTACCCGCGATCGCGACGTCCTTCGGGGCCAGTTTCGCCCTCCTGCACTTCCTGTGCCTGGCGGCTTGGTGAGTTCCCCGAGGTACTGGGAGCCAGGGGAAGGTGGAGAAGGAGCCAGCTCTGGGTCCCCTCTGGCCGCCAGCCCCCCACCCCCACCCCGCAAGGGCGAATTAGACCCTCTGGTCTCCGCTGTAAGGTCAGCGGCCCGGAGCCGGGCTTTGCTCTGACCGCGTAGACGCCGAGAGCAGAAGGGGCGCGGGATGTAAGAAGAGTGTGGATATTGGGGTCCGTGTGCGCGGGGTGCGCCTTTCCTGACCATTTCTCTCTGTTCCCCCATCCCTCCGCCCTGCCTCCTTTAGTTTGGGGCAAGAGACTCTTTTCCTAGAAGATAAATCTGTTTCCACCTGTTCGCTGATCAATTCTTAAAATAACCCCATCCGCCCCTGTTTTTTTGTATGTGTGTGTGTGTGTGCGTTTGCAGTTTAAACGAATCCCCAGGACAGAACCAAAAGGAGGAGAAATTATGCCCGGAAAATTTTACCCGCATCCTGGACAGTTTACTCGATGGTTATGACAACAGGCTGCGTCCTGGATTTGGGGGTATGAACGATTTCAAACGCGCAAGTGTGTCCTGTGTGTCTCTCTCTGCGTCTGTCTGTCTGTCTGTGGGAATATCATTAGGTATGCGTCGCGTGCAAAAATGAAAAATCTCTCAATCTCTCCCTCCCTCCCTCTTTCCC